ATTTATAAAAAAATTTATTTAAAAAAAAATTTTTTGATTTTTTGGAAAAAAAATTTATTGATTAAAATTAAATTTAACTTTACCGGGGGGGGGGGACTTACATTTCCCTCTTGTTAAACTAAGTTAAGAGTAAGCTTCTAGGTTGCCTTTCTGTCAGAATTAACAATCAAGGTGATAGACAAACAACCATTACTATCAGTAAAATCATAAGCAAATCAATTCAATCATAACATTAGTAAAATCCATCTGTTAAAATTAAAAACAGCAGCAGGAACTTAACAAAGGGCAATGTCAAGCAGAATAAATAAGATTGTGTATAATTCTAAAAGACAACACCTGAAAAAGCTCTGCCCTGGAATTCCCCATTTAAAAAAAAAAGTTAAGCAACTAATCACAGCCTCCCCTGAAGTTCTTTGTTAAATGTCAGAAAAGAGATGCTCCTTTAGGCAGCTTTTCCTACCAAAGTACTTTCAGATGCTTTGGACTTTAGTTGCTCCAATCACATCAAGTTGGAGAAGAATGCCTAGGGTTATATTTGCATAACATGCTTACCCATGCTCAATTGGTAAACTACAACACTATTTTATGGGAGTGGGCTAAGTCATTATATAGAGCATTTATATTGTGCAAAATATTTTACAGAAGGAAAAATTAGTCATTTTTAAATGTTTTCAAGTTTGTGGCTGACATTGTTAGTTACTGACATATATTTTACTGTTCTGTCCCATAAGAAGTAACCTATTCAGAAGGAACTACTGAAACAAGATGGCATTCTTAAAGAATTGATTGAATTTGCAATGCTTATAAGAACATCTGTTAGGGATTTTATATAAGGTGTTGCTGAAATACAATTCAGAAACTGATCAAGTCAAAGACTGCACGATTAAATGAATGCATAATTTAAAGTGGACAATTGATATTCAACAATGGGAATGTCAAGGGAAGGTAAATATTACATTTACTGTGAATATTACGTTCAGAAAAAACTGGTATAAGACTGAGTCCCTTCACTAGAGGATTGGCATACATTTTTGTAAAAAAAATAACTTCATATCTAAAAAATAAGTTTGACACTAACTTTAACTTCTGTCACATCTGAAGTTTGGGTTTTGTTCAATATAAAGTTTTAAAGCACAAAATTTTTGTCTGGTCATAAAATAAAAAATAGTTTCAGATTAGTTAGAAACTCTTGTTAACTCTTATTTGGGGAATTTTTATCAACTGATGATCTGATTCTAATGCTAGTTCTTAATGCTAAACTACTGTGTTTAGCTAAACAGTGCTAAACTATTGTGTGATATCTTTACATTTGTTCCAATTTAATGTGAGTTGTCTATCCCTGTGGTTTTTCTGATAAAATACAGGAGTGGTTTACCACTACCTTCTCCCACACAGTATCAAATTATGCCTTTGCCATTTTCACTAAAGTCATTATCTGCCCCAGCATCTTTCTATCTCTGCTGCTCAATATAGGTGCCTGCTTGCTTTAGCTGGGCAGCTGGGATGACCTTCATGCTTTGGGTGACCCTGCTGGGATTGCATAGACTTGGCAGTCTTGGCATTCTTTGCTCATTCCTCCTAGGAAACCCCCCTGCCACAACAAGGAAGCACAGGTGGAACTGAGGAGGCATTCATATCTGAAGACCTGTAGGGCCATGTTGGGGACAGATCATCCAAAAGAAAATCTATGTGGTGGCTAAGAGTTGACACGAACTTGATGGCACATAATTATCAAGGTGAGTTATAAGAATAATATATTTTTAAAAATATTTTATACATTCTTTATGTAATTTGTATAATCTGGAAATCTTTTATGTATTCTTTTTTCCCTAAAAACAAAAAAGTAATCGGTCAACTGATTAGAATATTATCTTTATTCAATTATACATTTATTTTAAAAGTAATCCAGGATAGACCTTCACAGTGAAGTTTGAGCATGGACAAATTCCATTCAATTTAGCAGATATTTTAACAAGAATGCAATAAAGGTCATATGACAAATGTTTATTTGAGAGGAAGTGACCATACATAAACCTTTGTTGGATTATGGGTATTTATAAATCTGGATCAAATTATTTATTGTATAGTTTCTTGATTTTTCTCCAAGAACTAGGCTGTTATTTTAATAACTCAGAAATAAGTGTGTGAGTAAATAAGTAAATGTGAACATAAAATTTAGTTATTTTTATTGAATTTTACAGGTAAAATCAATGTAAACATAGAATTAATTAATTCATAGTCTTAATTATACAGGGCCAAGAACAGACAAATACAGACTGTAAGAAGACTGGAGATATTATAATTGGCCTTAAAGGATGTTCTCTTTAAAAATAAATTAATTTATACTGGAGATACAAAAGTAGAAAAGAAATGAAATAACATATAATAATTTCCCAGACATTAAATCACAGAAAGGAATAGTAGAGAAAACAATATATATTAGAGTATTCGTTCAAATTCCAGTGCAAAGAGCTATGTAAAGCCTACTTGTCAATGGGACTGAGGAATATATTTTTAATGTTTGCAATTAACTTTCCTAAAAATGTAAATAAATGATTGGCAGCACAGAGTTCATGATAAGAGCATTCTGATGACAGCAGTACCTCAGGAACACTATACCACCAGTTGAGTCAGCAGCATACGCTGTTGTTCTTGTTTAGTTGTGCAAATGTGGCCATATATTAGAACTGGGTGTCATCTCTTGATTGCATTGTATCTTAAAAAGAAAGAAAAGTAAACAATATTGCCTACATGTCTTAAGTTCAGATCTGAAACTATGGGAAGCAGCAAAATAAAAGCTTTACTTTTTTTTAAAAAAGCAACATCTGTAGCTTTTTAAGAGTTACAGACTATACAGTTGGATTTTTTTTCCTGTTATTTCTATGGCCAGCCCATGGCCCACTAGTATGAGAGGTAAGGGCTCTTTATTATGAGGCTAAGGCACAACTGATATTTTAATAATCTTCACTAAGATGAAATTGCTATGTATTCTCTTGCACACACAGCAAAGTAAATAGTTTGGCCTATATGAGCCAGTAAAAACCTTAGACTCAGCTGAGAAACAGAGCTGGGAAATTTGCTTACCTGACCAATAGAGCAGGAACCATGAGTGCTCTACCTGTCTTGAGTGTAGACTGGAAACTGTTTTTCACTGCTGTAATTGAAACAAAATGTTTCTTTTTAATTCCTTGCCTACTTAAACAACAAAGCAGTTTAAGAAATCCAAAGCAATATTTATTTTAAATAGTTATAAAATAATTGACATGAAATAGTCATCACTTGTTTATAAACTATTTAGTTCCAGATTTTTTAAAAATTTCATTAGTATAATTTTAATAGGGTCAGCTAGCTTGGTTTATTATTTATTTACTAAACATTTCCTGTAAAAAGAGCTCGGAGTGATGATAAATAAAAGAAACAGATTACAGTATTACTACCAGGTGGAACTATCTATAACCAATTGAAAAAAAAACCCTAAACAAAAAGGACTAAGCCCTCAGATGGATGAAGCAGATGAGCCAGAAGGATGCCAAATGTGGTTTATATACAGTACATTTCCTTAATGGATCAAAACAAGTATTAGCAGTCCAGATTTGATTTACCACCCCTTTCTTTTTCTGATAGAGACTAGTCAGGATTTTGTTCTTTTTCCTATTAGAATTATATAAAAATAGAGCACTACTGGCCTTGAAAGATTTAAGCAGTCTTTAAACTTGTATGAAGGCAGACAACATTGAACAATAGATTGTATTCCCAATAAGTCTATTTAGGAAATTTAAAAAACCCTCTGGCTTGAGATATAACTTAAGGTATCAAAGGTTCTCTGTTTAACTTTTTATATCTATAATATAATTTGAAAAGTAAGGAGATTCTTGCTTCAAAGCATTAGAAAACTATTGGCTATTCTTGGTGAGGCTCCATTTTGCAATGCTGCATGTTTTCAGTGTTTTGGAAGGACAATTTTACACAGCTGAATTTTGAGCACATACTAAGAATTTGCTTTCTAACATTTCAACAGGAGTCTTTCTTTTTTTATGGCAATAAACATTTTGAGAAAGTTTTACTCTGAACGAAAAAGTTGTGTTACTCTGTTATCTTGACATTGTACATTTTTATATAATGCAGTAGCTAATAACTGCAAATCCTGGGTGTTAAAAGAATAGGCTACTTTCAGTCTGTAGAAAGCTTGACCTCAGGGGCACAGAAACTGTTGACTCATTGTTTTTACAGCATATATACTATTAGTCCTTTGTCACATTCTGAGAACGACATCATTGTCACTGCTGTTAGTAGCAGGTACTGCATGAATTAAGAGCTTTCTTTATTACTAGATTAGTTAATAGTATATCTCTAATATTATCAGGATATTTTCCACTTTAAGCTGTTATTTGTAACTATTTGTATGTAGGGAAAACTCATACAGTAATCAGCATAAGAGTTGCAGGGAGCCTTCACCCTCCCCCTACGGTGCAGTCTCCTGCAAAGATCCAGGCTTCTAGGCATGTTGCCAGGGAGGGCAAGGACTGGAGGATGAGTGCCATTGTCAGCGCTTGCCTTCATGAAAGAAGGTGGGATCTGAATAGGGAGGGTAGGATCTGGAGCAGAGGGGACTAGATCTTTAGCCTCTTCATGGCTGAGCAGCAGCACACCCTAAGCCTCTCCCTAAAACTGTTTATTTGAAGCACAAGACCTTTCAGAACTCTTGCTGGTATAGGGAGAGCTCTGCAGTTAAATGGAGGCAGAATCAAGAGTATGAAAGTTTGTCAAATAATGCAAAAATATGCAACAGTTTGAAAGCAGGGGAAAAACAATTCCACTTTATACTTTTAAAGGAGGCCCAGTACATGCAAAATACACGAATGGTTAGCACCAAGTTTTATTTGTCTTTCATACAAATATTATGTTAAAATGTTATTGCAGACTGCCTCCTTAAAGAACAAATATCAAACACTGGTTCTGTGATTATTCATAAAAGCCTTAAGTATAATCCAGTAGACACTTACCTAGTAACAAATTCAGCCAAACTGAACTGAAATGGGGTCTGTGCATTTTGAGTGAGGCTTGGGCATCATGAGCAAAGCACCCTGCTTTAAAAAAATATTAGTTAGATGCTGATGTGTAAATAAAACAGATAGCCTTCCAAGATCTTTAATATCAGACAGAATTCCATTACTTTTTCTTTTTTTGTCTTATTCAAGCATTTTGTTCATTTATGAATCTTAAATGCTGAGAAAATCTTTCAAAAGCATCCTGGCACTGTTAAGTGTTTTCCTTTCCTTTCCTTTCCTTTCCTTTCCTTTCCTTTCCTTTCCTTTCCTTTCCTTTCCTTTCCTTTCCTTTCCTTTCCTTTCCTTTTTCAAATAAGCTGTGGCTGAAGTTATCTTATCTAAAGTTCAATTAAATCATTTCAAATAGCGTTGTAAAATGAGAAACAATATTTAGTCAACTCATTTAACTAGCGAAGACAGGCTTCTGTAAAGGGCATAGAATGTGTTGCTTTTGTTCTTTAAGTAATTTGTATTGTCTGGGAACAACTAGATATATTTGTGTATGCATCTGTTTATATTACTGCAGTAATCAGTTCCCTTAACAAGACAAACTTATATACAATTCTATTCATAAGGAAGCTCCATTGACTTCAGTGGAACTTAAATCCAGTTAAGAGAACATAAGATTGAAGCCTCACTGAACAATAAACTGAACATTCTAAATGTAGGGTAATTCACCCAAGGCTGGGTTACCATAGACTTACCATTAAAATATATGCACATAATTTAGCTTGCACTTTTTTGAACACTGACCTGTGGTAGAGTCAGTTTCTTTCAGGAAAGAAACAGTAAGAACTACAGTATTACTTATACCTTAAAATATCAGCTTTATTTACAGATTTAAAAATAAACAGCAAATTTTGATATTGCTGAGACAAAGGAACCCAGTTCAACTATAGGCCTAGAGTTTGATCCTTTAATTTGTTAATGAAAATTCTTTTATTTCCCCTCCCATCCCCTATTTGTTTATTTTCTTTAATGTGGTAAGAGGCCAAGGAAGATGTTATTTTTTTAAAAAATCTGCTTTTTACTAAGAGCTACCCTATCTGGCCTGAAAAAAATCTGGATGACCATTAGATGGCAGCAAACAGATACAGAAAGCTCTACCTCTTTGCTCCCATAGACTGTTCAACTGATTTTTTGCAGCTCAAATAAAGTAGTTATATTATTATGAAATATAACTGCTTAGGGTTTTAAGTTAAAGTAGTTTCTGCTCCTTAATTAATAAGGTTATAGCATTCTTGAGAACATCTGACCCATTAATGCATGAACATTCTTCAGGCTATACATATATAATTGAAAAGAAGATGAATATATGGATTTTCATAAAGGACTAAAAATGGAGATCATAAAATTATCTTCATTTTAGACCCAAAGTTTCAACATATCTTAAAGGACACCAAACTGGGCAAGGTTAATGTAGGCCTAACCATATATCTATCTAAAAATAAATAATTTTCTCCTTTCTACCATTTACTGTATCTCAGAAAAGTGAAGCATCAGCAGAAGAATTTCAAATGATGGTATTAACTAAGTTCATGAAATCAGTAAAATATAGCAAAACCAAGCATAGAACATTTTTGTTTCAGACCTGTTGTATTTCTGTTCAAGTAATATAGTAATACCTTTTCCTGAAGCAATATGTTTTCAACTTGATAGGAAGCTTTACAGACAGTAAGAGGAAAACTACTGAGCTATATAAGAGACCAGTGAATGTGCCTACATGCCAAAATTGGGATGTATTTCTTTGCAAAAAGGCACATGCAGCAGAATAAGCAAACACTGGTGTTGACACATAATGCTAAGCTAGGAGGTTTAAACTATGACTTATTAAACAAGCCATAGTGGCCTAGTTTATGGTTAATGCTAAGCCATAATGGATAGGTTCACCCAAGTTTAGTCAAAGGTAAATAAGCTGTAGTGTGCTTTAGCATTTTTGTGAAACTGGCCACCTAGTGTGATTGTGCATATATAGCAGGAAATGGATAGACATGCATGACCAGTTCTAGAATTTGCTCCAAAGAGTGCCAAAATGCACCGTGTGTGTTATATTAAAATGTCTATATGTCCATGGATCCGTTAACTGCATGAGCAGAAGTACCAACTAATAAAGTAGGGAATATGTTTTCTGAAAAAAGTGGTTTTCTCAAGAACATCTTTGGGATTATGATGAGATATGCTTTTTGAAATTCATGATTTGTTTGTTTGTTTTTAATATATATTGCTGTGAATCTCCCTTTGAAAACCAAATAACTGTTTTGGAATACCATGCATCAAGGGAAGTTCATTTACCACTGCTGTGCGTATGCTGGGCTACATTATAAATAATACACATTGGAAAAGGTAACAGTCTATGCCCATTTATAGGATAATAGTAATGACATTTGCATATATAATTATATACTTAAATATATCCATCCGATAAAGTAGGCTCTAGCCCAGAAAAAATCATGCTATAAACTTCTATTCTGTGAAATGGAAAGGACATTTTGATATTCTTATGGCAGTGTAACAAAATAGCATAGAACCATACTGATTTCACTGGATTATATCAATGTTTATTCAAACTAGAAAAAACAAAACAGTAAAGTTCCATGAACTTTCTACAATTAAAATATGTTGCCTTTTGCCTCTAAAGGATACAAAGTGGAGCTAACTGTTTGATTGGTACCTATTTTTGTAATGATTTAGTTTTCCAGAACTTTGGTTCTATACACAAGTAGCAGAATTACACCCACTTATTTTAAGTGGAAATTGCTTTAAACACTAAACAAACTTTACTTTAAAACAAAAATAGCAATTGATTACAAACTAAACATGAGTCAGCAATGTGATGTGGCTGCAAAAAAAGTAAACGCTGATCTGGTCACTGACTGAAAATAATTTCTTTTGAAGGTAAATACAGTATGATAGTATATCAATAAAGGTTTCCAAATCATACATTTTCATGCAGCATTGCTCAGACCTCACCTAAATTATTGTGTCCACTCTGGGCACCACACATAATATTTAGACACATTGGAAAAGGTTCAGAGAAGGGCAAGGGATTGAAAATTAAGTCCTATGAAGAGAATTTGAAGAAACTGGAAATGTTTAGCCTTGAAAAGAGGGGGCGGGGAGAATATGATAATATCCTTCAAGTTTCTGAAAAGATGTCACAAAGAAGAAAGCAAGACCTGTTCTCTGTCATCCCACAGCACAAGGATAGGAAAAATGGATTTAAATTGCAGGAAGGCAGATTCCAATTGAATGTAAAATCAGAGAAAGTTCCTAATAATGAGGGCATTCGACAGTGGAACTCATTATCTGGGTGGAAGAATTGGGGGTAGCTGGTGTTTCCTGGATGTGTTCAAGCAGAAGCTGGACAGCCATCTTCCAATGATGCTTTCATTTAGAATCCTGATGGAGTACTAGATTGGCTTTGATGCTCCTAATGGACTCCACCCATTCTGTAATTCTTAGAATGGAAGCCTACATCAAAAAGTACATAGAAACCTCATCCTTAAATACTGTTTAGCTTAATCTTTGTTTAGATAATCTAACAAGAAAGGCAGGATTCAGAATATTGTACATTGTATTTAAGGTTAATAGAAACCTGAATATTTAATATGCATTGTATCTCATTTGGTTACTTCCTTTATTACCAGGGAGATGGATAATGACTAAATAGAACTGACAACCTCATCGAGTGTAAATTCTATTAAATTGTTCTAGGTTAAAGTAGATTTTTACCAGCCAATGTTATTTTTCCTACTTTTAGAGTGTAGGAAATCCTACAGGGAATTTAATTAATAGCACAAGAATTTTGTTTCTTTTTAACCACTGGAAACTTTTAAAACATCTTGTATTTCTTGTTTAGCAGCATCCCAGAATAGAAATATTGTAATATATACTGCAGTTTAACTATACCCATTATAATATGGCTAAAGTTATGCAAGTGTATGCTGCATCACCTTGATATTAGCATATACTGAAGATAATTCCTTGGCAAAAACATAATCTGAATCCAAATGCCATTTAGAATGCGAAGCAGAAAAGGCCTGAAATGGTACTTCCTACTCAAACCTCCAGTAAAATGGCTGTTACTTGAACATGATGATGGCTACTGATTTGTGGAAATGGGGGTAAAACAACTGGGATAATATAATTGCATTGTACGGCTGTCTAAATTTAACTTCTGTACAAGGAGAAATGTTTACTGTCTTAAAAATATCATCTTTCTCTATAGAGTTGTTCAAATATCAATTAAGTAACCCAGATCTCAAATACTGACTCTCTTCTCATGCACAAATAAATTTTCAGAAATCTTCATGTTCATGAAGAGTTAAACTTGAAATTGTAAGTAAAATTACATGTTAATGTATGCCACATAAATCATGCTTGTTTTATTATTCGTATTGTATTAATGTATGTATTGGAAACATCTTTCCAATACTAGAAAAACCCAACTCTGTTTATTAAAATTAATATTTTAGAAATAGCAAAAAAACTGAACCCAAATGTTTATTACTATTTCCTTGCTTAAAACTTACATGTAACCAAGAGCATTGAAGTAACTAATTAAGCTTCTAGGTTAACTTTCTTTTCAAAATGTCTTATTAA